GTAATTAAAAGGAACAATATATGACAATAAGAAAATGAGTAATTTATTTGGGGGGGGGACAATTTCTTTAACTGCTCATATAGGGGGTGTCATGTTCGAAAGCAAACTATTGGCACACAAGACCACAACCAGAGCAAACACAAATGCATCAATTCATACATAAAAAACCTCATTAAACCAGGAGTGAAACCAGATCAAGAATTTTTCTATGTTGACAGCTTCATACAACATAGGAGTTCCATACAGCAGAGTAGCGCCAACCCCAATAATTTATTATTTGACTTTGTTCACATTTTTACCAAATTTGAGTGACTGTGTTTATTACGACAATTTGTACCTAAAAAGCCAAAGGAAAACTGCAAAAGTTGGCAATCCAGTTTAGAATTTGGTGCTTGTATCATTGTCTTTTATCTGCTCTGTACTCCAACTTGATTTAAGCAGCTGTTCCTTGTACCTTTGAAGCTCCTCCTTCAGGAGGTTCAAGAGGTTCAGTTTGGCATTCTGAATATTAACAACCTAATTTATACAAGGGTAAAAATCAACCGCCACCACTGAAATACTGGTTTTTTTTGTGCTTGCTAAACCTTGAAGTAGCATATAGTGTCATACATACATGTGCAAATTTTATCATAAAGTCTATGGTTTGACACAAATAGGAATTGCTGATATATTAAAATCATTTGATCAATTCAATCATTTGCAAATAACATAAATAAATTGTTAATTTATAAAATTAGTTCAGATTTCAAATACTGAAGTAGATCCTAATAAAACTTAAGAAAATGATTAAATGTACAGTGCATCTGGGAGTGGGCATCATACAATTCAGCTAAAGGAATTTGTACATTATTCTTAACTAGCAATAAGCTTAGTCATACCATTGTCTTGGAATGAAATAATGTCTGAATCATCTGTTGTTTCAAATTCCATATGAGCAGTTTCTGTATGCTCAGGTGATGATACTTCACAATAGGAGTGTTTAAAGACAGAAAACATTTTATGTTGATCCTCTGTGTATTTCTTTGCCTTCTCTGCTTCAACAAATTCCTACAATGTATATGTACAATATAAATGTATATACATTTTATTCAGTACACATGGTACAAAATGTGTATTAAGAATAACACTAGATTCTGTGTTTATACATGCAAGTATAAATGAAACCCTCTATTTTTGATAAACAAAACAAAAACAATTTAGTTCCTTTTTTGTTTTNCACCTGTTCAAGTTTTCTTTTAGATACCCTCTGTTCCCTAGCTTTTTCTGTTGGTGTCGATCGTTTCTCTTTATAATGAAATATTGTTGGCCGATAATTGACGTCCTCGTAATCATAACTGTGCCACCCTCCCTCGAAATGTGTGGAGCAAATGTAGCTAGCATTCGTCGGAGTCCACTTGTCACGGTTTACAGCCTTTATCCATGCTAAACGTTTTTTCTTGTCTACGGGAAAACGAAAAAAACTTATTCCCTGCTCCTTGCCACAAGCATCAGCTCTGTTAAAACACTTGAAAACAACACAAGATCGTACCATTTCTTGCGTCTGTGGTTACCAAGAACGTACTCGCGGAAGTGGTTATGCGCATGTCGAGATAGTAGGACCGCAGTTAATGTGAAAGAGACTATATTTGCACAGCGTGACATGGGAAAAAAATGAAAGAAATGGAAAATTTCTTGGTTTTCCCGTTCAATATGATATATTTATTTCACTTGTATAAAACGAATATGTGATAACAACCAAAATACCAGCGTTGTGGCAAAATGTGTTTTCGTAGCAGTCTCGAGAAGTAATAACAATTATTCAAAGGGGCGGGGGCTACGATTGACGCTTTAACATAGAAGATGGTTGATAATTTTATCCAAAATAGTCAAATAGGTACATTGTCAAAAGAAATATTTGCAAAAATCGCTGCAATTTTGACAAAAGGTATAAATGATCTTTTATGTTAATCACCTTAAGTCCCGGCTTTGCTCTCTCAGAAGATGACGTTATTGCCAAATCATTGACATTTAGGCCTATACTTGTGGTTAAAACTGTATATTTGCATGCTGTGTGATAATTCTAAACGACAAAATTTATGTCATTAACGATTTATATAATTATAATTAAACAGATTACAGTATGCAGGATCCGTTCCCTCGTGGTTGATGGACAGTCAGTAAGTCATTTTCATAAAAAAAGGTTTGGTGTCCAGCAGCTGTGCTGCATTTTCTTGTTAAATTTTAAATTAAGCAATTTGAGAAGCCCTTCTAACCTTTCTATGTATTTACAACGGTCGTCATGGACGCGCATTGACACATTGCTCATGGAGTGGCGCGGTCAGAACGAAGCCGCCATTGTTGACGTTACCGCCAAAGAAATTTGAATATGCATCCATGAAATAAAACGTTTGAAGCGTGAACGGCGCCATATTTGAAACAAGTATCAATACGCCGAGTCTCTTTTCACTGCGTATATGCTAATCTATACGCAGTCGGAGTTTACTTAGCTGAGTAAGAGAGACATGTAAATATTTATCTATAAAATTTCCACAATGTATGATTCGTGTATTCCTTTCATAAACGACTGTTCAGAGCAATAGTTATGCCGGACCAACATTTCGAATGCATAATTCCAGTTTTTGGCAATGATACGAAGATCCTTAAGTAAAATTGTGTCCTGCCGGATAAGTTTACTTCTGTATACATAATATAAACTGTGTGTTTGTAGATAAACAGAGCAGTAACCTGAGTATTATTCTATTTGTGTCGAACAGAGTTACAGTTCCAGAGCGACAATTCTGTCAAGAAACTGTCTGAGGAAATCATTTCAAATAAATAATTGCAAACGAATAGCAATATTTCTAATGGGCATTGTAACAAATGTTCTTGTTTTCTACAGCAACCAATGGTAATATAATCTAGCATATGTACTAAGTAAGCGGGATATGAATATTCTACATTAAAGTATTTGGGTCAGAACCGAAGCCGTACTGAAATTCTGACGCCGGGGATAGGATATATATATCCCATAATATAATGAAATAATCATTTCTTCCCACTACTGACCCGAAATTTCGGTAATATACAAATGCAACACTTAAAATATAGCACAATTTCTAGATGACGTATGCACGAATAAGTCAATATTTTAAAAGAACAGAAAAAATAGTAACTAAGCAAATTAAAGATCTATGTGAGACCTTCGTTGCATGTTCTTAAATGGCGTCATTTGCCAACAGCTAGATCGTCATAGTGAGTTAAGTAATATGTTAGCCCGCTGTACATTGAAACGTCATTATGTAACGCCGTCATCTGATTCTGACGTCATAAGTGTAAAGGTAACTGAGTGCACAATGTGGGAAAAGCGTATCCCACATGGGCCACGTGTAGTTTACATAGAAGAGATGGGGAAAAGTACAGTGAATCCACCACTATTCGTTGTGTCTCGTTAGATTCGTTACATGTACCTGTATCGGAAATGGGTTAATGACTGGGGTACATGTATATATGCTGAGGCTAGCAGGGTATTGCCCCTTGGCGGATCTTACCTAGCTGTATGAAATGGCAGCGACCTCTTTATCATATATTTTATCATCATCTTTTTCTTTGAAAAATATTCTCATGCTGGTTCGTTTTAACCCCGACCATTCAACGCCGCGGACAACGGACATATAAATCATGAATTTGGTTACAAGCATATCAATCATAACAAATGCATATGCGTGCGGTTCTGTGGCCTTGAACACCTGTTTGTATCCCGGGCTTTGCTGAATTTTAGAAAACAAACATCTGTTGGTCATTGTGGTAAAAAAAGGTCGCACTGCATGTAGACAGAACGGCTTATCTTTGAATATTTTCTATAAATATATCTAACTTTGCACTACTAATATATATCCTGATCGGATCATCTAACGGTGTGACAGAAAGAAGGTCCAGAGGTAGGATTCACGATCTATCATTCCTGCAGGCCTGCGTACAGGTATAACCTTTCTTATAACACTCTTTGATGGAAATGGGGAAAGTGAAATTTGCTTTTCTTCTAATAATGCTGCATTTATGTCATGTTAGTGCAGAATATAATACGGATCATGCTTTAAAACATGGGAGAGCGAAACACGATATCACTGATACAATCATGACGTTAGAAGACCATGTACTGGCAGATATTGAGCGACGACTGAGTTCACTGGAATCGGATAACCGTCGTTTCACGATTAAAAATCAGCAAATCCACAAGACAAACATAGACCTGAAACAAGAAATACAACAAGGTAAGGCAGAGAACCAGAAACTTCGGAAAGGCGTTCGACGACTCGAGATCGAAAACCGCCATTGTATGCAAGTGGTTAAAAATATCCAGGAAACGATGCGACTGCTAGTAGAAGAAAACCAAAAGTTGACAAAATCAAATGAGATGGCAGATCGACACGACCCTGTGGCTAGTCAAGATATTAATGGAAACTTTGTGAAATCCAAAGATGTTACATGGACTGCTCCTACTGAAGCACATGACTTCTCATACAGTGTTCCATATAGCGTTCTTAAATCTGCGAGCAGTGCTTTTCAACAAGCTGAAAGGAGTGACAGTAACGGAAAACAATACACCCCTGACGAATTGAATAAAAACCTGGTCACGGATGTCATTGATAGTTTTGTGAAGGATCGACCTAGCATGCCAGTCCAAAGAAGCAATAATGGGAGTATTGCTACTGCATCTACTCAGTCACGTACTGTCCAGAGTAAAAGTCCTAAGAACGCACGTGCTGCTGGTAAGTCGATTATTTGTTATGAGTAATGGCGATATTGACCCTTTTCCGATAGTATCACTAAACTGCCTTTATCTGTAGTCTCAATGCGTGTGTAATGTAACGTCTGATACCTGACCCGAACTTGGGATAGTCTAAACAATCAGCATCAATTAGACATCACAATTTAAAAAACATGCTATCAAAGTTTTACTTTCTGCACAAACAATTTTTTGTGTACGTATTAAACGTGTCGCAACTGTTTATGTAGATAGTAAAACTTTGATATTACATATGTCCAGACAGATGAGTATTGTTGAAAATACTATAAAACAGTTCAATATTAGGAAATTTCATTATGTTATGGTATCATGTTAAACATTTATGTGGTAATATTTTGCTCTTGATTTCATCGATTACTGTTATTTACACATCGGCTTTCATTAGCTTCCGCTCCCCTACCTCACTACAAACCTATAATAATTGTTCCTGTATGCATACTAAGAACGCTACAATTCACAATTCATGATTATCACTTATAATCAACATCGAAGTTGTTTCTACAAATCAAATGAAGGAATATGGCATTGATGATGTTATAACGACATCACATTACCGTAGCGTATCATAGAGCAAAATCGTCAGGAAATTAAATTAAATTTCGTCTTTTATGTCGTGTCCTCCAAATGTACGTATTTAGGATACATAAGGAACTTTATGTAGGATACTCTGGACAGACGTATCAATACTATTCCCGATGTAAGGTGTCGTTGTTCCTAGGGGTGAGACGAGGGGATTCAGGTTCTTTCTAGAAAATTAATATGTTTATTTATTATTGCTTTCGAGTTGTCAAATTCATACTTAACCAACATTCTGGGAAAGGAGAGGTGCGATGTAAAGGGTCAGAAATGTAGGTACTTGTATGTGGGATATGGAAATTACACCCTCGAAAAATCAGGCTGAATGGAAACTTATATATATATATTCATTTTTTATCCGAAATGCAATACACAGTTGTATATCAGAAGATATTCATATTTACGTTTCAATAAATGTTTGACAGGTCCCTCAGCTGCTGTCGCCTTCCACGCAAGGTTATCATCAGACCTTACCAGCCCTGGGGATGACCAGACGATCATCATGTCGGACGTTCTCACCAACGAAGGTTCGGCATACGAAAGGTTATCCGGGCATTTCACGAGTCCCGTATCCGGTGTGTACGTTTTTTTTGTCACAACATTGGCTTTTCCTAATAAACACATAGAAACAATGCTTCTTAAAAACGGACATAGCATTGGTATGCTTATTAGTGGCAACTCCGATACTTGGGGTCCAAGTTCCAATATGGTAATTGTCACCGCCCAAAAAGGAGATCACGTCTGGGTTAAAGTAAATGGTCACTACCATGACACTGGAACAGTCTTACATCAAGGTTTTACAACCTTTTCTGGTTTTCTCCTTCACTGAAATTAAAGAAAGAATTGTAATATTGACATATGAGTTTTGTTATTTATTACAAAAGTACAATGTATAAAAAAGATATCTGGCCAACGATCGATTCATATATGGTTACAGGGGTGTCAGCGTTTCAGTTGACAAACGGAATGGAATGAAAATGCAATGAAAACGCAACGAGAACGAAATGAAAACGGAATGAAACAAGGCCTAAACGGAACGGAACGAAAATAAATTCACTGTTTGGAACGAAACGCGAATAGAACGGAACGAAACATGTTTTGCTCACAGGAACGGAATGGATTGAAAGTAGGTGGAACGAAACGCGAGGAATGATTGAAAACGAAATGGAATAAAACGATCTGAGAAGATAACTATTTTAATCGAGATTTCCTATCTATAGTGGCNACACCTGTGGGTAAAATGGTATGCAAATGAAATAAATTATGATTAACCAATGCAATTGAACATCTTATTCTTGTACACCATTATAAACAATAAAATAAATATGTGTCAGTATTTAAATCTGGGGGAACTTTAAGTTACAACACTTCAGATTTATATATGCTAGGGCAATGTGACCATCCACCAACTTATTTAGACCATTCACCTCTGGTCACATGGGATTCTGATTAGCTGTACCTAATCTTATTCACCTTGTGTGAGGGTATGCTGCAGTAGGGTATTTTAGCTCACCATGGTCTTTTGGAACAGGTGAGCTAAAAATCATTATAAAGATTATTTTATTTTCATCAAATTGTTATCGCAGAAATTTGTTTTGTATTAATAAAGTTCACAAAATTATCTAACTGCCTTCTTTTGTAAACAAGGCAATCCATAGTCCCCCACCGGTAATGATTTCTATATTTATCAAACAATACTCTTATGTCAGGATGTAACTATACTGTTAAGAAAGTATCCCGATACATACTTCTTGCACTCTACCATCCCAAGATGTCCTTGTACTCAAAATCTGGCTACTCAAGGTGAAATAGTACACAAGATATGCCCTGGACAAACTTTTTCAAAAGTTAAGGTCAGATATAGCAGGTAGCTGTAACAAATTCTGAGGTCCCTGTGCTGTGGTATGGGAATTAAGATGTGGAATTGACATAAAAAAATGTATGGGCCTATATGATTATGGTTTCACAATCTTTCTAGGGGTTTTGTCAAACAGAGAAAAAAATGAGTATGCTAATTACTAATATCCCATTAGGCCTGTAAAAAAAAAAAAGAATCTTGTAAGCTAATTTACCCCCCACCCCCCGGGATAGTAATATCCTGCAACTTCAGCCGCACGGTTCGTAACATCACTCGTTTTAAATGTCTCTGAATGCAAATATACATGTTATACTGATACGGGTCACAACACACTTATAACCACAGGTACCTATCGCGAATGAGAGCAAAATAGTCGCACATGACAACATGTGCATTCGTATTGTTTTTTCTCTCATACAGTATGTTCGAGAGATTCTTGTACATTAAGCCTGAAAACTCGACGAAACTGCATCTACCAGGCATTTTGCGACAAAATCGAAAGAGTATGAAGAGACAGTAAGAGTTGTCTTAAAAAGCTGATCACGAGTCGACAAGTTTTTGAGGCTGCCTCAGTTACCACCGCCATTTTGTTTCACATCAATGTACAAGCGCCTCGCCGATGGAACGGAACGGAACGAGTGCAGAACGGAACGAAACGAAAGCTCCACTCGGACTGGGACGGAGCGAAACGGAACGATTGGGGTAGAGAGGATTTAACATGGAACGAAGCAGAACGAAACGAAAAAAACAGTCTGCGACGGAAACGGAACGAATTGAATCTTGAGAACGAAATGAAATGAAAACGCGAATGAAATGGAATGAAAACGGAATGAAAACGCAAAATCTGTCAACTAAAACGCTGACACCCCTGTATGTGTAATATCAAAAAGAATTTAATTAATTCTCAAACTGTGAAGTTTCCCTTTCCTGGCAGTCACATCCCTGTTTTCCCACCTACATCATTTACATGCTCTAGTTGTAACGCTTTTGAATTTCGATTTATGGGTTTGTTATGAGTTGGCATTGTCTTGTCTTTTTCTGAAACTGTGTAAGTTTCACATATTGAATGAAACTATTATATCAACCCTATATAAAGCTGAGTTTCTCGGCGAGTGAGTCTGAACAGGGTGCCTACTACGTTTGACGATTTAAAGTGCATTCTTTCACATGGAAAAAATGATAAACTTAAAGAATACGACTAAATTCAAACTGACAGCAAAATACGACAATAGTTAGTGTTTTACTGTTAAAAAAGCTATTCGAGCAGCTTTTTTTGGTCTTTTTCCCCATTGCAATTACGCCGGTTTCAAATTACGTGGACTAAGAGCCCGGTACGGATTAAATAATCCGGAATGTCTTGGATTTTGTGAGGGACTCCACCTGGTTCATCATACATGCAAGACAAGGTGCCAAAAGATACATTCTAGCAGAAGGAGACGCCAGATTGGTAACTACGGGTAGGTTTCTTCAACGTTTTCAGTCGCAGATGTATGCTTTTGGGTTGATTATGTGGGCTAACACAGTGTAAAATTTCATAATTCCTCTCCCTTTCTATCTACATGTTGACTTCATGGTATAGAGAACACTCATCAGTTATGATGGATTTATGCAAATAATGTAGGGCCATTTCAGTCTCAAAGATCTGGAATTCGTTTTGAAACCGTAACTTACGCTTATACTCATGATGCACTGAACACGGTGACTGTTGTTTATTGATGTTTTGTAAGTTTGTATGTTTTCTCTGTTTATGTACGCCTATCAAATTGTACAGGGGAGGGAGAGGGAGAAAGATGAGTGCAGTACTCCCCCAAATGGCATACCATGTATTACCTCACCGTGTTCTCCGAGGATAAATGGGCATCTCCCGAAAAATCAGTGTGATAGGCAGGGCCACTGAACGCTTTGGTATAATACGACAGGAGAAATGTCATTACCGACTACATGTCCAGTATACAAGTACGCTGTAAAGGACTACTGGAGATGTTTCAAGAGAACAAGCACATGCCAATACGTAAATCACCAAACATTGTTATAGATTGTACAATATAGATTACACATACAATCAGTAGCCTATTCATTTCATATAATTCGTCTTGTTCAGCATGTCCTTATACCACCAACGCTTGATGTACTTCGATTAGGTGTGCATGTAGGAGGTAACACGAATCTAAACAAAGATAGAAGGGTTCATGTGTCTAATCGGCTCGACTAATCTAACCATCCCAGTCTCTGCACCGTCATGTAATGGAAGAAACTGCTGTTCAACATTATGCTGTGCATCGTAGATATATCATACATGTTAAAGGCAACTCGTTGTTGAGGAAAAAATGACAAGGGATTATAAAGAGTGACACAACTCAAATGTTAAAAGGATACTTCTGTTTTAGTGGTCTGTTGTTACAATGTATATGGAAGGGGTATGGCATGTTTAGTTCCCCGCCCTAAGGTCTGTACATGTGTTTTACGATACATGCTACAAATATACAGACCTTGGGTCGGGGAGCTTTATGTTCTTTATCCTTTTGATCTTTCATTGTAACGGTTTTTAAATTGTATCTTGTTTGGGTAAATATAGATAAATATTTTTGCATAATGAATTCATTCGTTTACATACATTATAGTAAGAAATCCAAGCTGGAGCTCCGGACGGGGTTTGTCACGGTTTGGTAGAGCAAGCAAGAACACGGGAACCACAACACAACTAAAGGTCGATCAGCCCTGCAAGACTGACCAATCTACACTTCATGGAATACATGTACCTATCAGGTGACATCCCCGATATCCAGGGGTTACAATCACATTTGCTTTCTGCACCCCTGGAATATGTCAAAGTAAAATTGAAGAATCACTGCTAGCTATTTGATTGGTCTCAGGTTAAGAAACATGACCAATTGCTAGGCAGATACATATCCTTTGAAGATTACAAAGTAGTGACAACCGACTTCAAAGCCAGTCAATTGTACCGTTACGCGACCGCGAGATTCTTTTGATGTACATCAAAAGATCAAACTAGTCTTCTCGTCCCATCCACAAGGTGTTGCACACTGAGCCTTCAATTTTGCAACGGCATATTCCAGGGGTGCAGAGAGCGTTGGCGAGGGTAACCCCTGGAGTATCGAGGATGACAAGGTGAGTGTTTTCGTCAACCATGGCAATCATAAAACTCGATTTCATTGCAATTTGTTGTGAGTGCAAACCATATGATTAATTTGTCATTTTACCGCAGGAACGCAGAGTGATTTATGTGTGCCCTCCCAAACCAGAAAGGGGATTTATAATGACGAACTAGGATCGGGACACACTGCATGACCTTTTCCGTGCTACTGTGTTCAAGGACTTATGTCGAAGATACCACACTCACCGGTATTATTGGAATAGAACATGACATGACGAGTATCAACCGTACCAGATTGTAACAAAACAGAAATAAACATTGATTCAGGAGGAAAGTATGTCATTCCTTTTTTATTATGACAATATCATGGAAAAATTAAAAAAACTGATAAGTGTGGTCGTTTCTTAACGTCTTCAAATTTAGAGATAACTGAGGATTGTAGCACCATGTATACATTGTACAACGAGCCGACGTCACAAATCGTGACAAAATCACATTTTTACGTACATATACATTGTAGGAGGTTTCTACAAGAAAAAATATCCATATTTCCAACGGAACTAAGCTTTGTTGTCGTACAGCAAATAGAAACGTGGTTTTTGAGGCACAGAATTTAGGTGGAATCGATCTTTCAAAATCGGAAACTTTCCAACCTTCTCGTATATATCACATTGGGTTGATTTTTTTACCGGAAGTTGGTCTTAAACCCTAAAATGTGTAAGATTGCTCTGAACACCTTAGTTTAGGTCAAAATATAGCTGTAACAAATTCACAGGTCCCTGTGAAATATTATACAATTGTTTCATGGCTATTTGGGGAACAGTCAAAACTATCATCCCGAGGCAGGGGGAAGCCCTGTGGAACTGTTTGCCCGAGGCCGCTAGGCCAAGGGCAAACAGTTCCACAGGGATTCCCCCTACCGAGNCATGAAACAATTGTTTTATTACCAAATAAATATTAGTATCAATGCTGCATGCAATGTTGCCATTGCTTCAACACTGAGTCGCGGTCACCGAAACGCTTGAAGGGGGCTCTCGAGGGGGGATTTCTGCGCATCGAATTCGCGCCGGGTAACAGTTCGCTCTGACCGGGAAAACAGTTTTGACTGTTTCACCCCTACAGCCGAAATTGGACAAAAACCCAGAAACAGTCAAAAATGACTAATTATAATTTATATAGACTATTGGGTAATAAACCACGTTGTTTACTACGGCCGGGACACGACACTGAGGTTTACCTAATTCCGTGTACAGAAACATCCAACAGCACTGTAGATACAGCCTAATTGTGTAGCAGTAGGGGTCTAAATGCATTTTCCTTCTGTTTTGTAAATCGTGTCCATGGTTACAGGACAACCAATTTATTATTTCAACGGTTGTGGAATAATTAGATATAAAATCAATAGACACACACATACATGTACAATTAAACAAGACGAAGTCTGTTTATAAGTGATCCAGGGTTTTAATTTTAGCTGCAAACTATTGATACATTGTACTAAATACGACAAAATTATATCACAAATAATGTCAAAATGTGGAAGTTGTACGGACTTGCAAGGTAAACCAAAAAAGGCGGACTGGTACAAAGGACTCCGTCATGGTCCTTTATTTAATTATCTAAGTACATGTAGGTGTCTTTGAAATGTAATACCACGTTGAGGCAGGGCTCAAGTGTCTTTTGAAGTTTATCTATATTTCAATTTTGTTGAGAATGTGTTCCAGATAATTAATTTCAGATATGTATTTAATAAATGTACATGGCCCAAACATTCCGGTCTTCAGACATGGGTATTTATATCAAACACGTTTATTAAGCTACCATTTTTATTTGAGCAGTAAAGCAATGTCAATTTCATCTTAGGTGACTATTTTGTATACAATGTTTAGCTACAATATTCCAAAAGAAATTTCATATATAACTGACTCTTAACCTGTTGATATTTTTAGAGGATTCACCTGTGTTTTCTTGGAGTTAATTGTCATCAGTACAAAACATAAATGTTGTAGACATATGCAGACATAACTATGCTGACTCATACTTTCCTAATATCTGAATATCTCAGTTAAACTACATAGACGTTAAAATCCTTGAATTGAACCACAAAAATAGTTAAACACAAAATAAATACACACAAAAATGAATAAATAAAAAAATAAAAAAATTGAAATGAAATAAAATATATAGATAAATAAACAAAATGAAATAAAATATAAGAAGAAACAAAATAAGATAAAATAAGAAATAATCTAAATAAGAAATCAATTATTCCTTCTAATATTAAAGAAAGAGAAATACAAAGCGTACTTTCTTTTATTCACAATAAAATATGTATAAATTGAGCTGAATATCTTTATTTCTTCCAACATGTAGAGATATACCTGCCATATATACATGTATGTACATACATGTACAGGGCTGATAGAAGCAATCGTATTAGTAATTATGTCCAACCCGTATAATATATACATGTTTCTATACATGTACATCAACTTATTGGCAATACACAATACTGTTTGACCTGTCGAGCACAAAGACGGGAACTTGTGACTCTTAACTTATCGCACAAAGGGAACTCCACGGGAGGCGATACGTCACAGCGTTGGGAAACCTCAGGTGTAAAATATACAGTTGTATATAAATAGATTATGACGTGTACTATACACACATATATATACACACAGCGATACCGGTATCGATTTAGGGGCAAATCTTTCTTTATCTGTCAGCAGTAAGCTATGTACCTATATGGTTTACCTACCCGACCATACACGGGTATTCATGTGCCCACCTGGCTCAGAGACAAAGACAGCCATGCCAATTTACGCAGTTTTCATAATTAATGAATGAATCTTCAAATGTGCTGTGAAATGTATGCGGGTGGATCGGTGCTGATGCTGTATGGAGCCGAAGGCTGCCTGTCATAGGCATGGACAGGTATGTACATTGTTTGAGCATCGTGTTATTTAAATCCAATGATGACATAACAGATCTTGATATTCAATAGGAAGGTGAGCTGAACATACAATATATATTAAATTCGAAATATTTCATACATGTTGTTATATTACTTAAATATAAAATGCATGCAAATAAGTCCCATCAATTTTCTACTGGGGTGTTTTCATTGGCTTATGGTGTTCGATATTATCAATTATAATCTATTTCTGCCATAACAAAGCAACTAACCCATATTTAGAGCACAATTGATTTGAATGTTGTTTTAAAGAAAGCGTGAAATGCGTTAGATGTACTTGGGAAAACTACTTCCTAAAATATTATAGATATATCTCATTACCTTATTGGTACATTGTAATATGGCTATCTTGTAAATAAAGATTTGGTGCTTTTATTCACAACAAAACTATAGAGTTGATTCCTACACACGTTTCACTACGATAAAGCTCAAGTTAAATACCCACGTGTTGATACATCACACAATGCTCACACGTATTGGTGAGCTGACGATTTAAAAAGAACAAAAGAAATTCTATCTGGATGATCGATTTCATTTTACCTGAATAACTCTTGTCGGTTTTCGCATACGTAGCAATTTCGATCGTTAATAAAACAAAACCCGATAGTAGTATGTGTAGGAACTGAGCCGGGTGACTATCGGTGACGGTACGGTATTTCAGCTGGTTAGAGCATTCGTCTAGGGTTTGGAGGTTCTGCTTTCGAATTTCAATAAGAACCTGTACTATTTTTACCTCATCTGTCACAGTGGTGTCTGAGACCAAGCCTTGTCTAAGTACTGTATAGACGCTTGGTGAGGAGATACATGTTATCGGTGGTCGCAGGCTTTCATTACAAGACTTTGCCGTGTAGTGTAGCTAAACGTTAGATCAATCTTAATCAGGGACGGAATAGCTGCATATATAGTGGACTACGAATAATCTATATCGGGTTCAAACAGTAGGAGTACGAGTGTACATCTTTAAGGATTCTCGTACCACCGTCAACAACCGTCACTTTACATTACAAACTGTTTTTATTTTGTTTCTTAATTACGGCATGGTGTCAGCTTTAATAAATCATTTCTGAAAATAAAACCATACATTGGGGGGGGGGGGGGGGGGGTTTGAAAGAAAAATGATAAAAATAAATTTAAGCAAAATATAATTAACAACAGTGTCCTATATATATATATATATATCTTTCAAATCCTCACAGCTAGACTGGCATTCGAACCTGAACCTAAGATTGATGTACTGTCGCGTTAACCAACACGGCTATCTCGTCAACATAAGTGTCCTCACCCGATTATCTGTAGCTGTATAACATTGGTAATGACTTTCTGTGCAAAACTGCATGTATAACTGTAATGTGTGTAACCGCTCTGAATTGCCTAAAGTTAGCTGTGTTGTTGATTTCAAACACACTTGGCTATTACTGCACAAAGTGCATTATTGAGCTTTGGACTGTTGTCAGAATGCAGTTTAATGCTAATAAAAAAAATCGAATTAACATCGAAAGTGATGTTTCAATTTTGAGGTAGGCTACAATTAAAACAATAGACAGCAATCAGGATCGACCAGTGACATCAAATGTTTTATTATGACGTCACTATTGCAGTGACGTCTCGTATGGTCTGCTGATCACAAGCGACGAGTTTCAGAAAAACGGTACCGAATCTTATATAAATTGTCGTTGTGTTTAATGAATGAACATTGCCCGTGTTTTTGAAAGTCGTGCCGATAAATTGCGAATACATTTGCACCTGTGTAACACCAGTTTTATTTCTATAAAAATAAAAACATGAAAACTCGATTAATTATCCAGGGATATACATTTTAAATCTTCAGATGGGGTCACATGGATAGTTTTATAATCAATTACATGATATAAAGGTTTGGAAACATGAGATTAGAGAACATCATTAGGAGATTCCGTATGGGTTTAGATCATTTCGCCGAGTGATGATATCTGTCCATTTTTTACATGCAAAGAGAAAATGTTGAAAAAATAATACCTCCGTAGGTCCAAACATATTTTACATCCTGTGATTGGTTCTCATGTCCCTGTATCAAACTTATCTGGTGAGAAAATGAAGCTATATCATGTGTTATTACATAACAGAAATAAAGTACTGAGTTCTATCGGCATGATACCATACGGCTTGTGCTGCAGTTGAGTTGCAGGCGGACAGTCGAGAGACTCGACATACGTTAAACTTTTCTTCCTTTTGTGTCTCGGATCGTATGTCTTTTGTTCCCCTACCTTCGTTGTGACTGCAGACTTGTATCCGATATAGGCACCTAATACGAAATCCTCGAGTAATACTTGAACGAAATAAAAAGCAAAACAGCTTTTCGATTCGTTCGCCTCCCCCTGGCATGTGTAAGGAGCTCAAGGTCGGGCCTGCTAGATAATCATCCTATTTAAATCCCGCTGTTTTCTGTGCGACGACTTTTAACATTTCAAATTAATTTTCTAGTAAAACATTGCCTTATAAACCAGCGTGGTTACCGATAATACTGCTGGATTTTCTCGCAAAAGCTGTAAATAATTCCAGGAACCACTGTTACACCGGACAGAGTTAATCGGAATGCGAGAATTAGTGAAGATTAACAGCCAGCTTCCGACTAAATGATTGGGTGTATTAAAGGAAGTTATATAATACGGACAGGCGGGACATTCCGGCTCTTGTATTCATTAAAAATCAACATGAGAATTGTTCTCGCTTACCAAATCGAATTTCTGTACGATCATGCGGCTCACGTCTCCGATGTAAACGGGCATCGCGGCTACGAGGCCTTCAGAATACTTAACAGACGAAATCCGTTATTATTCTGTCTTCTTTAAGATCATAAAACATTTTTTGGACAATCAAATTATAAAAACTGAAAGCCAGTCAAGCAATGTTTAAACCAACCTTACTGAAACAACACTGTGAGATCAAAAAGGATTCTTGGACAAAGGAATAGTAAGACATAGATTTTTTTTAGTTATTTAAACCACGTTCAATAACACACAATCGTGATTGTTTATACAGCCAAAACTGTTCAAGAGACAACCTTTATTTAGAGACTGTAGACCACAAATGCTAAAGGAGGCGACATTTAAAACTCATATTATCAGCTTATTTTATAGCTGGAACTAAATAGAGAAACTATTAACTATAATACAACATTGTGGTAACTCGTTAACATGTTTTGTTTCAGACAAACTATTTATGTTCAGATCGAATACCAACATGTTCAAGTTTGCTAAACTTGATTATCACTTGTTCTTGTTAACTAGGTCAACTTTATGCTAACACATTGCGATCATTAGTTAATGGTTACATGGTTCAATGTGTAACAATATGATTAGCACTAGTGAAAAGTAACTGGTCTACCTTTTTTACACATTGTGATCACTAGTTAATAGTTACTTGTCTAGCTTGTTTACACATTATGATCACTAGTTAATAGTAACTGGTCTACCTTGTTTACACATTGTGGTAACTCGTTCATAGCTACTGGTCTAGCTTCTTTATATATTGCGATCACTAGTTAATAGTTACTGGGATAGTTTGTTTACACATTGTGATCACTAGTAAATAGCTACTGGTTTAGCTTGCTTAAACATTGTAGTTTCTAGGTAATAGTTACTGTTTTACCTTGTTTACACATTGTATTACTAGTTAATAACTACTTGTCTAGCTTGTTTGCACATTGTAGTCACAAGTAAAAAGCTACTGGTCTAGCCTGTTAACATATTGTGACACTAGTTAATAGTTACTGGTCTAGCTTATTAACCATTATGATCACTAGTTAATAGTTACTGGTCTAGCTTATTAACCATTATGATCACTAGTTAATAGTTACTGGTCTAGCTTGCTTTCACAATGTAGTCACTTGTTGATAGTTACAGGTCTAGTTTGTTTACACACTATGACACTAGTAAATAGTTACTGGTGTAGCTTGCTTACATATTGTGACACTTGTTAATAGGTACAGGTCTAGTTTGTTTACACACTATGACACTAGTAAATAGTTACTGGTCTAGCTTGTTTAAACATTGTAATAACTAGTATGTAATTACTGGTATAGCTTGTTGATACATCGTGATCACTAGTTTATAGTTACTGGTCTAGCTTGTTTACACATTGTGATCACTAGGTAATAGTTACTGTTCTAGCGTCTGTACACATTGTGATCACTAGTTAATAGTTACTGATCTACCTTGTTTAAACATTCTGATCACTCGTTAATAGCTACTGGTCTAGCTTCTTTATATATTGCGGTCACTAGTTAATAGCTACTGGTCTAGCTTCTTTATATATTGCGGTCACTAGTTAATAGCTACTGGTCTACCTGGTTTACACAGTGTGATCACTATTTAAAAGTTACTATTCTAGCGTCTTAATACATTGTGATCGCTAGTTAATAGTTACTGTTCTAGCGTCTGTACATATTGTGACCACTAGTTAATAGTTACTGGTATAGCGTGTTTACACATTGTGATGACTTGTTTATAGTTATTCATCTACCTTGTTTAAACGTTTTGATAAATAGTAAATGCCTATCCGGCCAAATTTGCTAACATACAAATGTATTTTGATCACTAGTTAAGTGTTACTGGATTAACACATGATGAGCAATAGTAAATTGCTACTCGGTCCATCATACATTTTGATCACTAGTAAATAGTTACTGGTCTAGCTTGTTTATACATTGTAATAATTAGTTAATGGTTTCTGGGTCTGGTGTTCTTACTCATTGTGATAATAAGTTTAATATTACTTGATAGAAAGTGTTAACACATTAAGATTGCCAGTAAATGGTACTTTGTTTTATTGTAACTGATTTAGCGTGTTCATTAAGACCACCAGTTAATGATTACTGGATTTAGTATAAGATAAATACTAAATGGCTACCCGACATTATTTTTTTTTACACATTGTGATCACTTGTAAACGGTTACATGTTTTGTATGTTAACACATGGTGGCCTCTTGTTAATGGTTACTGGGTTTAACGTGTTAACACATGATGGTGATCAGTAGTAAATAGCTCCTCGGACCATTGTGTTAACCAATTATTGTGAACAGTTGTTAATGGTGACGGAGATTCATGTGTTACTACCGTGGTCGTCAATATTACCTTGTCTAGTGTTAACACATCCTAGCCGTCATCGAAAATTTAATGTGTTGACACTTGCTGGTCAATAGTAAATGGCTACTCGACCCACCCGACTTGTTTTAACATCTTGCGACCACTTGTTAATTATGGTAGCTGAGTTTCATGTGTTCACACTTTGTGATCGTCAATATTTCGGGGTCTAGTGTGACATGTAACACATCTTGATGGTCACCGAGTTTTTAATGTGTTACCACATACTGATTAAAAGTAAATGCCACATTGGTTCATTGTGTTAACACATTGTGATCAATTGTTAATGTTAGTTTAGTTTCATGTGTCAAAACGATCACGCTTCAGTGGCTACCTTGTCTAGGTTTTAACACACATAGTGCTAACTAGATAATGGTTAATGGGTTTAGTGTGTTACATGTAACACATTATGATTTTCAATATTAATTGAACAAGTGTTATCACATCTTGATCGCTACCGAGTTTATAATGAGTTAACACATTACGAAATGCGTAAGTGTTCTTTGTCCAAAGAACATCTGAACCGTCTCGGACTTCATTGGTAATCGTGACCCGAATACTCCACGATGAAGTGATACAAACACTAGTGTTAGGACAGATCAATATTATGCCGATGTGACAGGAAGATTCTAAAAACCTAGTTCTAAAATGCCTGTAGCATTTGAATAAAATTGGTTTAAATGTGTTACAAATGTATCGTGCAGACAATTTGTAGGAGAGTTACTTTTGTGACCAGAGATATTTCCTTACCAAATCGGTATGTTAACCACACAATCAGTTCCTCTTTGGTTTGTACAGATTACATCAATACTGAGGTTGTATCTAAAGGGTAACAGTTGTTTGTCGTGTAAAGTGTTTCCATGGATGTCGCAATCGATCTATTTCAAGTACATATGAACATTTGAACTTTACTGAAAAACACATTAATAAGTCAAACTTTTGCTATAGATAGGCCAATGATGGTTGTGTATTGTATAATGGTTTGATTAGCAAACAAACAGCTACCTTAATAATATGATTGTTTCTTTAAGTTATGAGATATTCTCTTTTATTTGTATTCCAATGTGTACACTAGAACCTTAATAAAATATTCTAAACTCCCTTGTTGTTGATTTTGTAAGATTATCCTTCCACAGATCTTCCAGCTTGACAAGTTTGCTTACACATTTTACGTGACCGAAGTGATACAGATAATTGGTATAGCGTTACGTACACCTCGACATGATCGTTAATGTCTGTCATTGTAATTCTAAAGACAATGGTACCTTACGTATTGTGTTGAATCAATGGTCCTACAGACAATGATCCCCGGTTGTTGCCACTACATTCCAGTAGGAGGGTACGGAGAGTTGGCAGTGCCTACTGTGGCTACCAATTTACACAGTTTATACATTGTAACTACACGTTTTAGTACTTCATTTTGTAGACTACTAGAAAACCGTCATATAAACATAATTAGATAAAAGTTGGCATTGCGAATTATACACCCTTATAACCTCACATATACAGGTTATTGGAAATGCTACACTCAGATATACATGTTGTTGGAAATGTTAAAGTCTTTGGGAATTCTACACCTAATGACGTACTGTTTTTAGAAAAGTCACCCTCAGATATACAGGTCTTTGGAAATTCTACAACCAAGGACATTCACGTTTTTGGAAATTATATTTCCTCAAATAGAAAAAATCTATACACATTCTATACAGTGTTACCATGTCAAAATATGATTTTATCATAAATTTTCTTTACAAAACGAGTGATCATTAAGCTGTGGGCGTCGTTGGTTATACTGTGCTAGTTTTGGGTGTATGTGTGTGTGTGTGTGTGTGTGTGTGTGTGTGTGTGTACTTGCTGGCTAGACATTATAATAAACTTTACGTCGGCTTAAAAAGGTCGTGCATTAAAGTCGGAGTCTCTCACTAACGAACCGACAGCCAGAAATGTAATCCCCAAACGGTAGTTTGCTGACAATTGGGCACGATTTGCATATCGCCGGGAGTTATTTCTAGACGGGCTCGGCCTGATAATTAATTGTCATAACCATTGGCGTCTGCGATAGTTTTAGGACATTTTTAGTATGAAACTCTCATACATGATATAAATACAAACCCAAAAAATATCCAACGAAATATTTATTGAATAGAAATTATTGACAGCAATTAATTGCAACAGGGGAAGCATTTTATTTGAAGGTTGGACATTTTTTATTAACGGATGAAACATCTGTCACACAGCTAAGTTGAAGTTAACAAAGAGGCCATTAGTGTATTCTCATAGAGGTATTTTTGAATTATATTAATTCTTCTTAAACCAATGCAATTGACCTACTGATGTATGTTTATATAATGATGTCCAACCGGCTCTACATATGACTTACAATTGGTTTTCAACAAAACATGGTTAGACTTAAAATTTCCAGTATTAATTATACGGTCGGATCCCTATGCTATTCCATAGGCAGGTACTAACATTACCCTGTCGGTAGTTATACACATACTACTTAAGTAGCACACACACGATCAGTTTGATTTAAATAACATAATCGCTTGTACATGTGTATTTGCAGAGCAATTTTCAAGACCTCTGTTGTATACCGGCGACCACCGAACGACGGGAGAAATGGGCTATTATCAGGGCAGGAATCGAACACCCCCTGCTTTTATACGGTACTGGAACTGCTGAGGTAAGTCAAATACAGATCTACAGCTCACCCTTGTTACAGTACTAAGTGTATCATATAGTAAATCTCACGGCCAGGCGAGTTGGATAGGAGGTGGCCTCGGAAGTATTCGACATCTTTGCGTCAGAATGTTTGGTATCAACATATATACATGAACATTGCGAGGGGAGCGACTCGTAGCATTTGGGCTGTTCGTAATCCTCGTTAAACAAATTAAGTACATGAACATTCCAGAATGCACATTTATCGTTGAAGGTAAATAGAATAATATAAAATATTTAAAAACAGCAACAAAACACACACAAAATAATACAAGATTTAACTTCATAACAAATATAAGATTGATTCTTTTTAATAATAATTGGCGAGGGTTGGTTATGAGATACAACTTATTTTGATCTGCATACATTTAAACAAACCGTTCTAACCCACATATTATAAACGACTGATCTTTACCTATGACAGGGTAGTGCTAGATGAAAAGATGTCTTATATCTATAAAGAGGAGAACAGAATCGTTTCAACAGAATGTAAAATGTAATTACCAATAAAGGACCGATCGATGGGTACACCTAGATACCGGTTCCGGCGGATGCTAATATTGTGAAATGTTGTGTTGAGTTACTGAGGCAAAATTATCTGTCTCCGTTTGACATTTATCCTGTTTACATGGTACAGAATAAATTTCACGTAACATGTACTTTTCTCTTTATATTTAAACATCATTATAGACTTAAATTTTCACCAACTGCAACCAACAATCGCGAAAGATTTGTTTATCTCCAAGCAGCTAATATGTGATCCTTTACCTGTTTGTTTTCAATAGGTTATCTAGGAATATTCATCGATTTTATTTCGATGGACTCGCTTCTTCATGGCATGATAAAAAGAGCTAAATAATATCAACTAGCTATGCTTTAAAATTCTGATGGCAATGTATGCTGCATATTGGACGTAAGTGTAGCTTATCATTAGCGGTAATGATGTATTTTGCTGTACATTGATCATTAATTTACACTTATGTTACTCTATGGTGTGTGATGTCCTTTAGCCATTTAGATATTGGTCTAACCTCTACTGTAGCGGTGCTTTATATATTGGTTTAACTTAAACTGTAGCGATGTGCTTTAGATATTGGTACAGTTGTGAGATCGCACAACGTTACATGATTTACGGTGTGCGCACGATGTGTGCATGGTGTGTGAACGATGTGTGCACGATGCGCGAACGATACAAAATGGGTCGATCATTGCGCACGATGGACGAACGTTGTGCCATAACAATCGCTGTTGGTGTACATTGAGCAAAGGCTTAACAACATATATACGGTTACGTGTTTAAACATATAAACTTGACGTTTAAGTGTGTTTCTATAGTCTAGCTACATCTATAAGCTTATCTTGCTGTCTATACTTTCGTAAATTTAGAAATGGAGTTTTCGGTGTTTATTAAAGGGCCTTAATCGACACATGTAAAATTACATCACAGTACCGTATACAGGTAAACATAGCCACTTCTACATGTACCTGGACCGTAGTTTTTCCCCGCCCGGGCACTGACGTAACTCGTCGGGGTGTGAATCCTGTTGAAGGGGAGATATAGGCCAAACCGAATGTAAATAACAAATACTAAATGTAAACGCTCATACTGTAGTATAGCACATATCAGCTATTTGTGTCAGACACAGGCAAGGCAAAACTCCGGTCACTCATCAAATTGTTATTTACCTGTTCTGTTTCCATGTAGCCAAACCCATTCTTGATAATCTAACGGTCACTGTAATACTGTGTAACACGCAATGTTAAATTGTACATACTCTTAATTATTGTGATGGGAAATTACAGTAACATATATAGTGTACATTTTTGCACACGACCTTCCGTATTTTTTCATTCCGTAATAGTTATCAACAAATTGTACCAAATCGCACATTTGTGCGGAGAGAAGCGCACAACGGGGCGAACGATACTGTGCGCACCATGTGTGGACGATGTGCGGACGGTGTGCGCACGCTAGTTTTGGTGCGTTGTACGGTCACACAACAACAGTATAATCTCTACTGAAGCGATGTGCTTTAGACATTACTATAACCTCTACTGTAGCGATGTGCTATATATATATTGGTATATATATTGGTATAACCTCTACTGTAGCGATGGGCTTTAGACATTACAATAACTTCTACTGTAGCGATTTGCTATATATATATTGGTATATATATTGGTATAACCTCTACTGTAGCGATGGACTTTAGACATTACTATAATCTCTACTATAGCGATGTGCTATATATATATTGGTATATATATTGGTATAACCGCTACTGTAGCGATGTGTTTTAGACATTACTATAACCTCTACTATAGCGATGTGCTTTAGATATTGGTAAAATCGCTACTGTAGCGATGTGTTTTGTATATTGGTATGACCTATAATGTAGCTATGTGCTTTGAATATTCGTATAACCTCAACTGTACAGTAGCGATGTGCTTTGGATATTGGTATAACCTCTACTGTACAGTAGCGATGTGCTTTAGAAATTGGTCTAACCGCTACTTTAGCGATATGCTTTAGACATTGGTATAATCGCTACTGTAGCGATGTGCTTTAGATATTGGTTTAACCTAAACTGTAGCGATGTGTTTTGTATATTGGTATAACTTATAATGTAGCTATGTGCTTTGAATATTCGTATAACCTCAACTGTAGCGATGTGCTTTGGATATTGGTATAACCTCTATGTACAGTAGCGATGTGCTATAGATATTGGTCTAAACGCTACTCTAGCGATATGCTTTAGATATTGGTATAATCGCTACTGTAGCGATGTGCTTTAGATATTGGTTAACCTAAACTGTAGCGATGTGTTTTGTATATTGGTATAACCTATAATGCNTAGCGATGTGCTATATATATATTGGTATATATATTGGTATAACCGCTACTGTAGCGATGTGTTTTAGACATTGGTATAATCGCTACTGTAGCGATGTACTTCAGATATTGGTTTAACCTAAACTGTAGCGATGTGTTTTGTATATTGGTATAACCTCTACTGTACAGTAGCGATGTGCTTTAGCTATTGGTCTAACCGCTACTTTAGCGATATGCTTTAGATATTGGTATAATCGCTACTTTAGCGATATGCTTTATATATTGTTTTAACCTAACCTGTAGCGATACTGTATGGTATGTACTATACACTAGCCAGTTTTCACCCCATCAGTATCGGACATGTTCTTTAGATATTGGTCTAGCCTTTACTCAAGCGGTGCTAGATGGTCTATACTAAAACCAATTCAACTGTTCGGTAGCAGTACTATTCACTGGACACAATACAAATATCAATGCCATATATAACTCAAATCAGCCACTAACTGCTTAATTCCTTAATGCCACTGGTCTATTGTTACTAGGTAAACATATCATTGGCACAAGGCCTGGAATGCCTTCCTGGTTTAGATGAACGACCCTACATGTTAGTAAGACTTCTAACGATGAATGATGGATTAATGTGTTAAGAAACATTCATTATTGTGTACTCAATTTTAAACGTTAGCAAGTGTAGATATAGAGCACTCTTATAGAACACCCCTCGTATCGCCGTTCTTCGACAGGGGAGATAAATCATGTTGGATTTACTCCAAAAGTCTAGATCGATCGATAACACAGTTTTCCTTTAAAATCAATAACGTAAACATCAACTTAAGTACTGAGTTCAAAGAATACACATTTACTGAGCCTGCACATAGAGGTTAAATGAACGTTTTAGGTACATATATCTACTGAAGGTAAAAGTAAACATTTTGTGATGAATATACACTGTAGTTGCATATACAATACATGTACATATACAATGTATTTACAGTGCATTTTCATTTACACAATATTGCCATATAAACGCTGTAGTTATAGATATTGTACTTGGTATTATATATAAACTATAGTTTGTTTGAAAAAAGTACATAAAATGAAGTTATGTTTACAATGTCGTTACATGTAAACTAGTTATGTTTACAAGGTAATTACATATAAACTAGTTATGTTTACAGGGTAATTACATATAAACTAGTTATGTTTATAATGTAATTACATTTAAACTAGTTATGTTTGCAATGCAATCACATACAAAACTGTTGTTATGTTTACAACGAAATTACATATAAACTAGTTATGTTTACAATGTAATTACTTATAAACTAGTTATGTTTACAATGTAATTACATAAAAACTAGTTATGTTTATAATGTAATTACATTTAAACTAGTTATGTTTGCAATGCAATCACATACAAAACTGTTGTTATGTTTACAACGAAATTACATATAAACTAGTTATGTTTACAATGTAATTACTTATAAACTAGTTATGTTTACAATGTAATTACATAAAAACTAGTTATGTTTATAATGTAATTACATTTAAACTAGTTATGTTTGCAATGCAATCACATACAAAACTGTTGTTATGTTTACAACGAAATTACATATAAACTAGTTATGTTTACAATGTAATTAATTATAAACTAGTTATGTTTACAATGTAATTACATAAAAACTAGTTATGTTTACAATGTAATTACATTTAAACTAGTTATGTTTACAATTTAATTACATATAAACTAGCTATGTTTACAATGTAATTATATATAAACTAGTTATGTTTACAATGTAACTACATATGAACTAGTTATGTTTACAATGTAATTACATATGAACTAGTTATGTTTACAATGTAATTACATATAAACTATTTATGTTTACAATGTAATTACATATAAACTAGTTATGTTTACAATTTAATTACATATAAACTATTTATGTTTACAATGTAATTACATTTAAACTAATTATGTTTACAATGTAATTACATATAAACTATTTATGTTTACAATGTAACTACATATGACTTACAATATACTTACATATAAACTATTTATGTTTACAATGTAATTACATATAAACTAGCTATGTTTACAATGTAATTATATATAAACTAGTTATGTTTACAATGTAACTACATATGAACTAGTTATGTTTACAATGTAACTACATATGAACCAGTTATGTTTACAATGTAATTACACATAAACTATTTATGTTTACAATGTAACTACATATGAACTGTTGCTATGCTTACAATATACTTACATATAAACTATTTATGTTTACAATGTAATTACATATAAACTAACTATGTTTACAATGTAATTATATATAAATTGTTATGTTTACAATGTAACTACATATGAACTAGTTATGTTTACAATGTAATTATATATAAACTAGTTATGTTTACAATATAACTACATATAAACTAGTTATGTTTACAATGTGATACTAGTTATGTTTACAATTTAATTACATATAAACTAGCTATGTTTACAATGTAACTATATATAAACTAGTTATGTTTACAATGTAATTACATATAAACTATTTATGTTTACAATGTAACTACATATGAACTGTTGCTATGCTTACAATATACTTACATATAAACTGTTATTATATATCCACTCTAGATATATATTTTAAGTTATAAAATCATGAACACTAAAACTGTTCTGCAGACCGTGTAGCGTTGTGTAGGCCAACTTATGCAACCTGACCAAAGAAACGTAATTTGATCTGCTCCGAAACGTACATTTGCATAGTACAAGTACACTAGCTTTGCATATCTTCATTGATATAATTGTAACAGATATGGACTTTTTTATATCGTCATTATACAATCAGTTTTAACTATATGTCGGCTATCCAGTAGTTGTGGTAGTAAGCACATTTTGTCGTTTCGTTGATAAGCTTAACTTATCTGAAAATCTACTCCCTGTGTACTAGTAAAAGAAGTTTAATCTTATACGTAATGGAACATCTTTGAACCAAGGGAAATCAACTCGTGTCGTGTGGAAGGTGACACGTAAAGGGTCTACACGTTGTTGTCATTGTAATTTTAAGCTAGACTTATTATCATATATCCTCAAAATTGACAAAACTGTGAATAAATGGAATACTTAACGGACAAGGGCCCATGAAAAGTACACAGAGAATAAGAACAGGTGTTCTTGTAGTATATCCGTTTAGTTTGTTTTACGTCTCGGTGTAAGCAGAAGTTAGACTGACCAGTAATGACCATCATTGTGGTATATGGTTATCAATGTATCGTAAAAATGAAAGTAAAAGAAATGAGGACACATAAAATGATCGGAAAAATTCAGGTTCAAAGGTTAAGTACCAGGTTGCAAATATTGTCGTTAACTCAGTAACAAAGAAAAAAATAAATGCATGCAAAATATACACAGCGTTTTGTCAAGTACATTTTGTATGAATCCCCAATCGTACATAATTTTTATATTCGCACTACGTTGAGTTTATTCACGTTATGCTTTAAACAAATGGTAGACTGACCAGTAAAATTCCCATTGTCAAACTGTTCGTGTAGTGTAACAGTTAATGGATCTTTAAAACGAGATGACCACGGCCGGTTGAGTGTCCGAATATTCACCTTTTTTCACCTGGCTTTTACTCTGCTTGGGGTTTATTTATAATTATAGCTGCTCGTAGAAGTACAGACCATTAGCGTTTCAGCAATGGCCCATTACCAGCGATACTCAACACAACAAATATTGATCGCAGTTCTCTTGAAGTCCTAATTGTTGAATATTTCGGAGTTTGATGAATTGTTTAGGATATTGCTGCTACAGTTCAATCCTATAAAGACTTGACACATTGAGCAATTATCAATATTTGAAAAAATATCTATTGATATTACATAATAAAACGTTGCTTCTCAACAGTAATTGCACTTCGCTCACACTTTTATGGAAGTTATTGTGTTTGTGTTTAATACCACAGGTCTGGTCTTGAAGCGTCTTGTTGCGTTTTTACCTGGCTATAAACCGTAGTCACAATAATCTGTTGTCCAATCATTGACGTAACTATATATTTACCTTGACAATACCACAACTGTTCATATAAATAATATAGAAAGATCATACACGTCCAAATTATATCTTAATTGTTCTTCCATATACAACGTATATGATGTATCAATCATCCTACTCGGTCTTTCATTTCCGCCCTGTGTCTGTATCGACCCACGCCTGTTAGTTGAATAATTGATAGAGACTGTCTATACCATATATTGCTGTTTTCCACGGCCAATTTACAAGTTCAACGAAGGCAATAAAGAGGATGATGTATTTGGCGTCCATAAGGGATAGTCACATACAGTATGTACCATAGTTGTTAGGTATGACATAAATTATCATGTATATATAGCTCGTTCGATACTATGGTAAACAATCTGCATGCTCTCTGTCGGAAACAGTAGGGTAACCTCATGATGAACGTAACAAACACACAGGTGCTTACACCTTTACAATTTGATAATATATACAGTAAGCCAAAAATGCATTACATTGAAATCAGCATACAGTTATATGTAAAGTATGTACATTTTGAACCATGTCATTACTCAAAAGCGATAACTGGTTATAGCAAAACTCGGGGACTAAAGAATCTGACAGCAGAGTCTACCACCTGGTATCTTGAAAGATGAACGTGGAATTTGTCACTTTGAATATTGCTTAAAATTAATGTTCGTATTGGACAGCAGTAAGAGCATAGAATTGGACTTCAGGATAAATATTCTAGCGAATTTCTTCGACTAAGTCTATCTCCGGCTAGGTTCTGAGGTTTACGACACATGTCTAAAACAATTGTTGCAAGAAGGTCAACACCAATCGAATAGTAGCCTTGTTTAGTTTGAATAGACATAGTAAATAGTTACCGACTTGGAAGTCGTGAAATATTCATTACGGTTTTGTGGCTCTCCCATAATCTAACGTTTCCTGTCAGCGGCCAACAATCCACTCAAAATTACAGTTGTTTACTGTTACTGATTAAAAAAATGTGAGTTGACTGCGTTTAACCTTTACACAACCTAACATGATGTCATGAGCCATAACCACAATTACATCCAGGGTTAGTTCGACAAATTACTCATTAAAAGGTAGATAGAAAGCAACGATCACCGTTACAAAGGGTTCCATTGCGATCGTGCTTTCGTACTGTCGACTAAATGTTCAGTTGATTTATTTGATTTTAGGCGCCCTTCCCTATCTTTATAGATAATATTTGATAAAAATAAATGAAAAATACTGCACCAAGAACTAGCTAGTATATGTATCTGTCTACAGTGAAAATAAAATAGTAGAATACTGTTGGTACGGGGCTTCGCCTCTACGTAACGAAGTCTATTTCATATAATGACGTTAGGATCTAGCAAGTTTTGCGTCTACTGTAAAGTTTTATATCATCGAGTGTCATACGTACAGTATATGACGTCTAAGTCCACGTATTATTCTGTCAAGGTACTAGCCAACGTTGTCGATTGAAACACCTCAGAAAGGCTTGAATAGAAATACTGACTGAAACATAATTGCAAACTAACTAGCTTGATATGAATAGTAAAGGATAATATCGACCCTACTTACTAAATAAGTAATACAAGTGTAGCCTGTATATCTCATATATTTCATCTCTAGTTATCTTAGACATATGGATCAATACCACTCCCTAATAAAACACACGTCAGATTTTCTTCAGTGGCAAGAAATTGACAACTGTCTGGTGCTAGTGTCACTTTGTGCTGTAGGTTTCCCTCGTAACTGACATAAAGTCCCGTTCTCCTATCACCTAATCTATATAAATTGATGCGCGTCTGGAATTGCCGGTGTCCTTATCAGATTCCTTTCCAAGAAGATTTTTTATCTGTTTTTTTGTTGTTTTTTTTGTTATCTTATATGGAAGTTTCAATACTGTAAAGTATTTTATTTTGACATCTCTTACACATTTTACATAAAGTGGTATTTTTTTCTATTCAAACATTTCTTTTTAACATATTTGGTTAGGAAATGTTTTGTCTATTGGCGTATACCAGTAATAACATCTACATAATTGGATCAGTGTTAATTTATGTCAAACTTAATGTCACATTTGAGCGGCAGTTATGCTAAAGCTTTTGAATAAGCCAGGGTCTCGTGTTTGGTATGGCTAAGCTTCAATTGTTTTGGCAATAACGACCCCGTATTTGCAATGAAAGTATTTAGTTTCCATCGTTTTGAGTAGTAATGTTTCAGTTTAAGAGGTAAATATATTTTAGTAGTTCGGGTAGTTATGACCCAGTATATGTCAAGTAGTTGAACGTAGTTTATTCAGCTAACTAAGTTGCAGTTCTTCAGTTTAGTCAGTTAATAAAAGGTTATGCTTCAGTTGTTGCTGTAGTTAGATTTAACACTCTGGATTAAGAATGATTAAAGCAGTTTAAGTTGTCAGAATTCAGTTGTTTTTAAAGAGGTTTTACAGCAGGAGTTTGAGTAGAATTGTTATGAGAAGTTTCACTCAAGTAGTTTGAATAGTTGGTAATCAATTGTTATTATACTTAGGATTTATGAAATTGAATAATTAGACTTTAATGTAGTAAGAGTAGTAAGGAAAAAGGGCATGAAGTAATAAGACTTCAGCATTTAAAGTTATTTGGCTACTGTACTTGGAATATTTATGCTCCACTTGTTGAATTAGGCATGTTTAAATATATGGACTAGTATGGCTTCAGTAGTTGTAGTAAGATTCAGTTAGCCAGAGTAGTAAGTTGCAGTATTTGATCTAGTAATGCCTTTACAAAACCTGCAATATGAATACATTAACAGCATAACGTTCATGTAGAAATGCAAGTTTTACTGTGTGATTATATACGCAGTTTTGTATCGTTATCATTTACCTTTGTTACATTTATTTACGATAATTTCTGTTTATAGATTGATTGGTTCTTTTGTTTTAGGACGATGGATAGTTGATTATAATTGGACCGAGGGAAGTGAACCAGTCATGGAGAAGAGAGAGAAAAGTCACTATAAAAACAAACTGGTGACGGACTCGCCGGAATGCCAGACAGCATTGTCTCGTTTCATCAAAGAGAGAGAGAATGAAAAAGCAGATGCTCTTTTAACCCTCATTAAAAACTCCAACCGCCTGGATATCCTCGTCAAATATCGAGAAAATGAAGATGAAACGCTTTTGCACACCGCGGTAAAATACCAAGACGATGAAAGCATGGTTAATCGTCTTGCAGATCTGTGCCCGCAACTTCTTACGCAGGCGCGGGAGAACTCGGAAGAGTATAAGGGGCAGACTGCTTTTCATATAGCAATTACTAAAGGTAACGCAATGGCTGTGGAAGCCATGCTAGAGCAAGCAAAAAAAGGTAAATCTTCGGATATCTTAAACAGAATGATGTATACAGAGGCAACTGGAACGAGATTTGTCAATACAGTGATGATGGGCGGAATACCGCTAAGTGTCGCAGCTTTGGCATTTAGGGAGGATATAGTTCAAACTCTTATTGAAAATGACGCAGAACTCGAATTCACAAACGAGGATGGTGATACTGTGTTGCATTCCTTAATCAAATACGCGGCCATTTATCCTGAAAAAGGAAATGACGTTGTGTTAATGCTGCAGCATCTTCAACAGAAAGTGATGGAAAAGGGACAAACGGAGCGTATGTTTTCAGATGACAGCGACAGCCTACATTATAAGTACCAATACACATATGTATGGTTCATACGAAATAGCGAACACCTCACTCCTTTACAGTTAGCAGCTAAACACGGCGTCGTGGAAGCATTTAACTATATCATGAATATGGAGAATGTCTATTGCTTCTTTAGTACACACGATGGTCTCTTCGACATCAAAATGTATGACGTGACGGAAGTAGACTCAATCGCCAATATTAGAGCAGCGGCTTCAAATAATGGGTCAACGAAGAAGACGCATAGTCGTGGAGCCGTTATCCCTAAACGCGAGGGAATCGCTAACAAGCCATTGCGGAAGTCCAAACAACAACAGTGTGTGCCATGTGGCGGAGAATATCCAGAGACGGAAAGTATTCTTGAAATGATGTTCAACAACAGCTACCATTCGAAAGACGCCTTCCGGTTAATTGAAATGCCTCCTGTGAAGAATCTTGTTCGTGCGAAGTGGACATTTTATAGATGGATCTACTACTTGTGGTTTTGCTTTCATGTACTTTTTATTATCGGTCTGACGTCGTATGCTGTAGTGAGACCACAGATATACTACAACACATCCGGCAAATCTCGGGCAGATCGGGAAGCAGATAATTCTTCTGTACATTCCTTTGTCACTGTATTCCACTGGTTGGCGTTTGTGTGTGGCTTGCTCTATGTTGTTGTATCAATTTTACTATTTGTGCCAAAATTTCGCCGCTCAAATGCCCGTCAGTATTTTCTACATAACCTTGAGTATATTGTGATACTTACCGTGCACTCCAGCTGTATCGTCATAGATACGTTTATGACAGCATCAGACGATTCTCACGATGGAATTCCTCTTATTATCGCCTTGATTACCGGATGGTGGTTCACTGTTTTCTTCCTGCGACCTCAGAGGATATTCAGCTTCTTTACGGAATTGATAAAACGTGTAATAATAGGGGATCTATTCAGGTTTGGTATTGTGCTGCTATTTGAACTCATTTCCTTTACAGCAGGAATGCACATCCTCTTCCAAGTGGACGTTATTTCAACCACCGGTGGGAGCGTTGATAAGTCCGACTACTCTTCTTACTGGACCACTATGTTAGCCATGTTTAAACTCATGCTCGGCCTGGACGACATTGATTCCTTGTACGACTCCCGAGTACCTTGGCTGTCTGTGACGCTATTTGTGGTATTCGTGATACTCTCGTATATTCTTCTGCTGAATGCCCTGATAGCAATGGTGTCACAGACGTGTGCTATCGTTCTTGAAGACAGATATCCGCAGTGGCGAGTACAACAACTATCTGTGATATTGTTTTTAGAAGACATTTTTTGTTCTTGTTGTCTAAATAGAGCTTTACCTTGTCATGCGGAAGCCAGAGAGATTCGTGGTTTTGATACAGTTACGAAACAGAACAAGTCAGATAAACGTTTCCTTTACGAAATTCATTCCTTACAAATGGAATATGCAACCGAGGAGGACAAATCTGGAGTAATGAAAACAGTGCGAGTGGTCCCCAATCCGATGGAAACGATGGCGAATATGACGACACCAATGGACTTAAACGAGAGTATCGTACAGTGGAAAGACACGGAATACCTGAATCCGAGACGTGGAGGAACATTTTCTTCCATGATCACGAGAAAGAGAATCTCTGGTTCGCTCTCTGGTATGAACACTAGATTTCAAAATAAACCTAAGAAACAAAAAGCGTTGGACGTTTTACCAGAGGTAGAGGGTGAAACGGAAATAGACACCCCTCCTAGAGCGAGAAAACGTGGCAAATCCCCGAAACCCATACCAACGGTTTTACAAAGTGAGGATAGTCCGATTTTGAGCAAAAAAGCTTCAAAGCGAAAAAGACACAAATCGGAAAACTTACACGAAAAGAAATCACCATCACCTACAATGGTACATCCAGGATCTGCCGGTGCTTTGTATTCGTCAGCCCCAGAAGGTCTGCCTTCTGTTGTTGATAGTCGCGAGGTAGATATCCAAACAGTGCATTCCTCCCACGTCTACTAGGATATGAACTACCCTACTATAAAATGCAACTTCACTTCAAAAATGTCTTTCATGAATCTGGAATAATTTATCGATCGTATACAAGAGGTTCGTATTAGTACACCGAACTTAGAATCAACAGTCTTTAGAATTTTTGTTGGTTTTGTTTTTAGAACATTTGATTCTCTGAATGTTGTCCATAATTGTCAAAGTACAGTGTTGGTGAACCTCCTTAAGTTTCTGGTAAAATTTAATAGAAAAGGCCAAAGATTTATTCGGTACATCCTGGAAAACCAGATTTGTATTGTCAAAAAAGAAATCTAAAGTGTAGTAAACTGTTAAAGTATCTACCTAGCTTATACAGCTTTGATCAGTTTTGACATAGCAGTAAGAATTAGAAGAGATTCGACAGGAGCTGTACACCTTATTTAAGCTTGGTCACAAGTGAGGAACGACATGAAATACTCAAAATCCACCATGCCTGCCAAACGTTCAGGTAATACAAACTTGTATGTAATTGGACCTTAATTTTAGTCTTACTTGAGCAGGTTTCTGGATTAGACTCAGTTGCAGTGGATGAAGTGTACAACAAAAATTGACACATTTCTGTTTTAGCTATGTGTACAACACTATGCTAAATAATGATGTGCATAATTTTCGTCTAAACATCACAAAAACACATCAAAGAAGTTTAAATACCCTGACTTACCTGTTTACTGTAAATGTTTGTTTAAAAAAACTTGCTGAGCAAAATAAAATGTAACTGAATACGGTAAGAAAGGGATAGAATACCATACATAGATATCGATATTCCAGCAATACTGTATGTTAATATTAATTTTACCATTATTTTGCTGATTGCTATCGTTCCGTTTGATTTTTGTTTTTGAAATCGTATAAATATACGATATTTAATCGTAAACCTCTGCAATAAAAACCAGCCTTTTGCGAACAACGACATTTTGTAAGCTTTATAATAGTGATAATTTACACAATGTAATGTAAACAAACGGAAAAAAACAACATTCTACAGAACAAAGGTGTATACATGTATCAGATGCTGATATGTATATATCTGATGCATGCTTTTTTATTAATGAAAAATTTGTTTCAAACAAATTGTCAAAAATATTTATTTTTGCCTTGCATCATCTGACACTGGTATGTTTCATTCAGCTATATTTTTGCATCACCATACTGTAATTATGTTTGAAATTTCAGCAAAACAATAAAGTTACGCTCATCAAAACTAGTTGCTGAAACACTGTGAGTCGTCACGATAAACTGTGATAATACCTAGATATTTGTCTTTCAGTTATTTTCATTATATTATGTCAATGAAATTAGTGACAGTGTTTACGTACACGTACGTGTGATAGTGTAAAACTTACCAGTGTGTTACGTCCGCCATCTTTATCCCCAGACCGCAAATTCCTGTTGCATTTGTTTAAATGTTAAGTAAAGATATGCTTACAAGTTTAGATTATACTCAAAGTATGGCAGGCAAATACTATGACCAAAGGGGAATAACTCGTTAATTGATCTGGCTTTGCTGTCGACTGTTTACAATATTGAATTTATATGAATAATATATGTCTTGATTTAGGAATGAATATTAGATAAATGTCATGGTTAATGCATTGTAGACAGCCTTCTGTCTTCATCAAATTTTCTCACAGCAGGTTTGGAGTTCATTTAGACGACAAAGAAATAAAATTTAATATATAACACTTTCTGTTTTCTAATTTTACTGTAATCTGGTACATGGTAAAGATGATAGAACTATTCAAATACTTATTTAAAAAACAACTATATTAAACTTGATTGTGTATTTGACGTACTAAGTACATTGTAAGTGCATATATTTAGAGGTGACATATATGTAAAATAAAACAAGAACGAAAAAAAAATCTTCAATATTGAATAATGATATAAAAAACATCATTTGGCAGAGAGATTTTGGTTTTATTTTGTTTAACGTCCTATTAGCAGCTAAGGTCATTTATGTACGTGCCTTTGTGTATATTATGTATGTGTGTATGTGTGTATGTGTGCTGGAGACAGGTTATGTTGGTGTAATTGCCTCCTTGTGGTAGCGCGGAAATGATGCCGACTTTATAGTTCTATCTCACTGAAATACTATGCCGAAGGCATCCAGCACAGCTTTCCGCCCGGTCGCATAATACTGATAACGGGTAAACCAGTTGTTGCCATTACTCTAAATGCTGAAAGTTTAGCAAGGACAAAAAACTTTTAACAAAACGAAATTAGAAACGAAGAAGATTATATGAAATGTTTAAAAGTATTACATCTAACATATACTTATGATCTTCTTTATATAAATTCCTTTCAAAAACCAGAATGTTAGGTTGGTAAATACATTTGAAAAAGAAACATTATTTAATAACATTTTATGAAAAAAATGACTGCTATTTGGCTTGATCTTCCATATCAGCGAAAGCACACTAATATTACACCATTTGTTTATAAGCTTTTAAAATCGTCTGTTTTGTACATATTTGTTGCTGTTAATATTTGTTACATTTTTGATAGGTTTGGAGAAGGGATAGAATTAACACTAGAGTTAAGAGCATATCTAATCCTTAGTTTGTAATTGTGTGCAAGACAATGACGCATATAACAATGGATATGTGTTGAAAACAAACATAAACAACTTTTTAAAATGCATATTATTTTGTTATTTTGTATTGTGTATTCAGTACAGGGTCACATATATGATATATTTTGAACTTAATATTTTGGATTTTACTTTATTATTACTTTTAATCATGTTATTTACGTGTGTAAATTTCGCGAATTTATTCAAAAATCAAATTTCTTCGTTTGAATTTGTGTGTTTCTATCTTCATGATAATGCCATGACTTAAGCGCCTTTCACATTTCAGATGTGAAAATATTGCATTTATTTTTTTAGTATGTAATGAACAGATCGCATTTATTTTTTCGTGATTTCACTTTGTATCAAATAAAGAAAAAATCGGATACTTTCGAAAGAAATCTGACATATTTCTATACCACTATTTATAGAATAAGCTTTTAAAAGTGCTTCAATTTATTTTTGCATTAAAATATTGTACTAGATAATTTTGTTAGAGCGCATGTTTTATATTTTGTACTTGTCATATTGTGTTCATTTAAAATTATCATAGGGTATTGAGCTTCATTGTCTGACATTTTTATCGTCGCAAGTTTGAATAAACAACCCACACGACACATTTTTGTGTGGATTGCAAATCACTTTTTTTGACGTGTGTTAATCTTATTATGAGTTTTCCCACAGAAGATAAGAAGAACAGATATAGTCAATAATGTGTCTATATAATTGATTATTTCCTTGCTGTACCCCATTGCATAAGAAAGAACAATTTGGATATTGTATTTTTGATACGTCTTCCTTAAAGGTATTGTTAGGCACATGACATGCATTTAATTTCAAACCAGTATAATTAACATTTTCAATCTTATTCGGCACATAAATTATAGTAGCTGAAACAGGAAATACAGAACTGTAAAAATTAAACTATCGTTTTTCATGGATGAAGTACAAGTAAGTACAAAATGTATTACAATCAATATAGATAAATTATGTTTAATGCAAGCATCATGTATGTTTTGCACATGAAACAAAGTATTAAATAAGGTATCCTTACTATGTTTTCTGTGATTATGATGACGTTTGTGTTGTATTGATGATGAAATAATTTATATTTTCCTGTTTAAACAGATTTACAAATGTTCGTTTGTTTTGATGCAGATAGAATAAAGACGATGTTCAGAGTTTAATGGTTCGTTTTGTAAATTTGTGTTTTAGCATCAACACACACGGCAATAACGAAATTCTTCATATGTGGAATACATAACAAAATAATTATATAAATACATAGAAAAATATATAGACACGACGTCTTATCTTTAAGAGACATATTTCATTCGTATTTCTGTTTACAATAGAGATACAGGATAAACTGTCTACAATTTTGAATTTGTGCAGGGTTGAATGCGCTGTTCTCGTCCAGAAAATATATTCGCGCTGTGTAAAATTCGCGGAAAAGAGGGCGGTCTGTGATATTTTAACAGCTTTTAATTTTATTATTCTATAGGGATCCTGTGGTATTTTACAAAATGTTGACATACCGCTTTTTTTTTAAACGATGATCCTTAAATCTCAGTAGTATTTTTTTGTACAGTGAACCGTGACCATTTCTGGTTGGCTTTAACCTTTTTATGAGAGTGTTTGGCAATGAAGTGAATGGGTTTGACGGAATTTGTTTTACTGTTTATCTATAGTCTCGAGATAGAACTTAGGGGTACGTCTTGAAATCGATTACTGTTGAATTCTATTTTTTTTCTAATAGTTCTCTGAGTATTATCACTGAGTCTTTGTAAAGTTCAGATAGAGTAGCGAAAAGCCTGTTATGATAGTAAGATCAGCTGTTTCTTTTAATTTGCCAAGGAGCAATTGTTATATAGAACAGAGGTCAACCAATACACCACGATAGTCGCAATGACGCATCGCGAACAATGACACATTCGTATTCGACTTATAGAGTAAATCAGACGTCATAACAGCCAGTTTGAATTTTGAATCCCAAACTTAAAGTAGATTGTAGAATATGAAATAGACTCCTCCTGACAAAATATGAACACATTCCAACAATACAGTTAAAAAACGAAATCAATTCCACGACCCTTGTTTGTCTATTGATATTAAAACTATTTGTTTCATTTTCAGTTGCTTACTAGCTTTCCATCATTCAGCATATTACAATATTCCTTTTTTTATGCCATTCCTTACACGCCTATCTCGTTATGTCACTAACTATTTATAACGCTGAACAAATGGTGGCAATTGAATGAGAGTTGTCTCTCTTTGTGCCGAGGTCAGAATCGCACAATGAATCAGTAGAAACTCAAGCAACAATAAACGTAAAATTATGAAATCGTTATCATGCTCAAGCATGGATTTTGTGCTCAAACTGAATTTCTTGTAACTCGCTTAA